GTGCTTGTTTCTATTCCTCCTTTGTAATTTGATTGAGTTTCTACTTGTTTGATTCTCCTTTGAATAACAGGTCATTGAAGATTTCCTGTGTAAGCCAACATAGTATCTTACCATACTTCCTGTCTTTCCTGTGCAGTAGGATAGTTGGCTTGTTGCTTTTAATAATGTCTCTCTAAAAACATGTTCCTTCAAAGGTGCGTGGCCACATGTAAAAAATTCTAAGCCCACCCACCTCCTTCCCAGAGCCACGCAGCAGCACTCACCTTCCTACTGGAAGACGAGCGGCGTGGCTGCTCCCAGGGCTGGGGAGTAAATGGGGGCAGGGACAGGGCTGCATTGGGAGGTGGCTGCTTGGGCAACTGCTCTGGTATACTGTAGGTTGCTGAACTCTAACTCAGAGGCTTCTGTGCTGCTTAAAGATCAAACTATGAGCCTGAGATCGGAGAATTCAGCAAGGGAAAGCAAGGCAAAGGATCACACTAAACAGTAAGATCTGCATCTTTATTAATTAATTATGAAGCTGCTGTAGCTCAAATTGTAAACTACAACATTTTTATTCCTTCTTTAACACACTTAATTTTAAGATAATAATGACCACATGATTATCATATGAAGAATAAGAAAAGGCACCAAAAGGCTCTTTCCTATACCAAGTTCTGCCTGGCAAAAGTATTAGGGAGCCAGTTATGTTTTTCTCATCATCTGGGTTGAACTTTATTTTGGCAGCACAGATTAGAACAGCTAGCACCAGAAGATTATCAGTGAAAACTGCAAACCCATGTGCAAGCCACTCCTCTTCTTTACTTTCTCTACTCTTTCTCACCCCTCGAATACTGTTCCTATACCAACGCCATGTAAAATTGTGACAATACCAGACAGTTGCATCAGCTGAAAGTAACCACATAGAAGTGGAATTCTCAGCTAGCCAGAACCAGCTGCTTTCTGGGCCCCACTTTGCACAGGGATGGCAATTTGTAAGAAAGAATCTGACCCTATTAATTAATACCAAGTTTACCCAGACATTAATGCAGGGCCTCAGACAGCAGAATTTCTGCCCTGGAATTGAGGTGTCAACCTCTCCTCTGTAGAGTGTCTTTGTGCAGAGAAACCATCTAATTGCTTACCAAGAACAAAATTGCTTTCAATAATCAATAAAGAATAAAATAGCTTTGTAATATATCAGCAAAGCTGAAACAGAGGAAATATACAAAATGTCCTTTAAAAAAAATGATTTGAAGGGAGGAAAGGGAGGCATTCTAGAATGTAGAGCTGAATTACAACAATGCCTCTAGCTGGAATTTGGGAAACGACAAATTACATAACAGATTTCGGAAAAAAAGATTTCCATCTAGGTATTGGAGAGGAGAACAAAAATGAACTTCATCTTGATACTTTAACATCCTTTACTGTAGTTCTGTAATTTTAAAAAACATTTTATTTTTTTCAAATTCCAAGATGTTAGCCTTTAATGTGGATTAATCCCTGTATTTTTAGACACAGTGGTTTTGCTGGTCTCCACATGTAATCTGAAGTCTGAATCTTCCCTATACCATAACATCTTAGAAGAAATTGTATCCCATTGGACCCATAGTAATTAATAACTGTTTAGATTTTAAACTATCATTGTATTTTCCCTATGTCATTTTTGACTATGCACTCTTCCTTCTCTCCATATTGTTGGGTTTAACTTTCTTGTAATAAGGGAACTTAATGCTACTGAAATTCTAATGCTACATGCTGTCTATCCTTATGTTCCATTGAAGTCTTACATAAGTCAGTTTTAATGTTCTTAATGTCCATCTTAAATGAATGCCAACTTTAAATCTATTCATTTGTATATATTCCACCCCCACTCACTAGTCTTGCCCCAGCAACTTTTCAAGTTTCACAGTTGCTTTCTCTCCTCATCACTGTGTGAAAGATCACACAACTGGGAGAAACTGACTAGACCTAGGCAGTACTGTCAAAACATACCAGGAAACCCAACTGTGTAAAAAGAAAACTTTTTCAGAACTGTGAGATTACATGTTACTTAGACAATGGTAGATAAATATCATTTATTTGTGAAAACTCTTAAACTGACAACTCTTTTAAAAACATCAACTGGTTTGTTTTTGAGTTAATGCTTCGAGGTTCCATTTGTCTCCAGTATAAAGGTGTATTATTGTCTTGCTAAACAGAGTAAACCAAGATTGATACTTAAGCCTTAACTTGGATTGTCCCACCTTTGTTTGACATATTTAAACTACTAATTCTTCTTAAGTTTTGTAGTAGGATGGTTTTTACTTCACCTTTATGTGATGAGCCTGCTGAAGAGCACAGAAAGCAATTGATTTCTAAAAACTTCTTCTAAGATAATATTGTGTGTGTTTCTCATGAAGTTGATCTTTATTTTTTATTTTGTTGTTATTATCAGAAAACTCTCTGTGATGTCATTCTCATGGTCCAGGAAAGGAAGATCCCAGCTCATCGTGTTGTGCTTGCTTCAGCCAGTCACTTTTTTAACTTGATGTTTACTAGTAAGTCTTTTCAAAATTGCCTTGTTGTTAACCTTTTTATTTTAAAAGCTTTTTGCCGTGGGTCTCTGTTTAAGAGCCAGTCTCTATTACTTTGTTCAATCAGAGAGAACGCTCTTGTACTTTCCTCTCTCCTTAATTTCTGTTCTTCCCCCATGAGTCACTGCTTTTTACCCCTTTTATCCTCTCTTGGGGCTACTCATGTGATTAAGGCCTTGTCTATAGTTACTTGAAAGGTTGAATTAATATACACAACTCTAGCTACATTAATTGCATGGCTGGAGTCAACGTACCTTCATTCGTCCTTCACATTCTCCATAACAGCATCAACAGGGCACTCTTGGCATTCAATTTAATGGGTCTTTACTAGACCCACTAAGTTGAACTCCGAAAGACTGACCGCTGCAACGTCTATCTTCCTGGTAGTGAAGACATGGCCTAAGTATCTTCCTACATCAGAGAGAAGGCATGTGAGAGAAAATATTTTATTGGACCAACTTTTCTTGGTGGAAGAGACGGAGACAAGTTTTTGAGCTACACAGAGCTCATCTCAGGTCTGCGAATATGTATGGCTAATAACAGACATTTCGTCTGTTCTTGATTTTTTTTTTCTTGTGAGTCTTTTCATAATGCAAGAGGTTTTTTTTATTGTTCCCTCCTTTCTGCTTTCACCACTCTCTCAGCACCTTCCACCATTAGGCACTTGTTTACAGAAATGTGAGTTTCTTTGGATGAGCAGTATCTTTTCAAAGTTTAGTTGTATAGCATTTATGTCAAAATGTGACTGTAATATACAAAAGGAAAGTTATTATTGGACTATTAGCAAGCTTTCATGATAGAGTATAAATTAGTTTTGTTTTTATTTTAAAAGTTCCTATGTTTGAATATTTAGATTCTGTAAATACTCCTCTTGGTGGTGTTTGGGTTTTCCCCTTGGCATAATTGCTTTACTGTGGATTTTTTTTCACTAATGGATAAATAATACTCAGTGATACACTCATGTAGTTCTATTTTACTTTCATTGCAGCAAATATGCTTGAATCAAAGTCCTTTGAAGTGGAGCTAAAAGATGCAGAGCCTGACATTATTGAACAGCTTGTGGAGTTTGCTTATACGGCAAGGTAATGTGTGATTTTTAAAAATGTCATTTTTGCCAGGCGATTGACAACTTATTTATGATAAAATCTCAAAGAAAAAAATGCTTGTGTAGTTCAGTGACTTGTTTTTAATAGCTCCTTATTTCAGTCTTCCTTAAAATCTGTTAACATCTCTGTACCATTGTCATTCAAATAACTACTTCAACTAAAATGTTCATGTATGCCTGATTCTGAAAACACTTATACATGTATATCTTAAATAGGGCTTTGTGTGTGTACATCTACGCTAGGAGTTGGGGTATGATTTCCCCTCTTCGTGTGAACATACTCATGCTAACTCTCATCTGAGCTGTGCTGAGTACAAGCTGAGTCAAGTTAGACAAGTACATGTACATGAGCAAGGAATCACACCCATAATTCTAGGTGCAGACATGGCTTAAAAATGTATAGTTAAACTCTAATATGTATATGAGATCAGTACCATAGTGATGTAAATTTCTCAAATCGTTTTTCCATTGTTCCAGTTTAGGAACTTTAAAAAAAAAAAAAATTATAATTGGCAAGTTTTTGGCTTTTGTTTCTAAATATACATTCCCAAATGCTTAGATGTGCTATTACTAAATGGAGTCGCAAAACATCAGTCTGAAAGCACCTAAAGCTGCTTTATATTTGCATCTATGAAAGAGACACCAAAGGCTCTGATCCTGCAGTCTGTTCTCTGTAGACAGGGACCCTCGCATGCACTGTTAACAACAATGGAGCTCTACATGGGCGCTGGTCACTGGAGTCTGCCTATGCAAATTAACTTGCAGGACAAGGGGAAATGGTTCTAGGCAGACTAAATATGACTTAGTGGACCACAAGATGGAAATCCAGAGGAAATCTGTGGCCCATTGGGGTTCCACCTACAGCCTGTGCACCCTGTCTCTGCCCCTTTTCCCCCCCTGCTTCTCGCGCACTGGAGCCCTGCACATACCTACTTCTCTCTCTCCCTCCCAGCTTTTTTGGAGTGCCATGAATTGGCTAATTCATGTCCCATCCCTGCTTCTCCCCTTGTTTGAACACTGCAAATCATCTGATTCACAGCGCTCCAAAAGTGCTGGGAGGGAGGAGGAGTAGGTAAGTGCACGGCTCCAGTGCCCCAGTGTGCAAGAGGGGTCAGGGCTTGCTTTTCATTCTGTTCCCCGGATTACCAGGGAGTGAGGGGGAAGTACTTGAGAGGTCTTCATGGAATGCAAGGATTTTCCCCTCACTCCCTGATAGTCCGGGGAATGGGATGAAAAGCAAGCCACATCCCAGAGCACACGGCTCCTGCTCCCCCTACCCTCCCAAAATGGCACCCTTAGTAGAGAGGGAGTGCATGAGCCGTAGGTGGAACCCCAATAGGCCGCATGCTGGTGCAGGTTGCCCACCACTTATATATGAAGTTTACAGAACTACCTATCAGTATTTCTTTCCTCTTCTGCTTTTACATAGTACTTCAGTCATCTGGATTGTTTATATGGTGCTTGGGGTGACACTTTCTGAAGAGATGGCCTGTTCCTTCAATCTGCCTCCACTTGTATAAGGGATTGTACAGAAGAGGGGTGCAAGATCAGGCCAATACAAATCTCCAAATGTTAAACATCATCTGTTAGAATTAAGAATCAGTGGTTCCGACTTGCCTTATTTGCTTATTGCTATACAAGTTTTGGTACTAGAATTAAGAATCACTTGCCTTATTTGCTTATTGCTATACAAGTTTTGGTATTTGGGAGGGGCAGGAAAGGGCCAAAGGAAGAATACATCTCATACTTAAATGGAAGGTAAAACTGGCTAGGGAAAGCGTGGGGAAATAAATTTGCAGATCTTTTTGCTTAACTTTGTTTAAATGTTTCAAACGACAGTAGCTTTATAATTTGTAGTGCTCATTTTGTACTAAATGTGTTTTGCAGAATTTCCGTTAATAGCAATAACGTCCAGTCTTTACTAGATGCAGCAAACCAATATCAAATAGAACCTGTGAAAAAAATGTGTGTGGATTTTTTGAAAGAGCAGGTGGATGCTTCAAACTGTCTTGGTAAGAGATTTCTTTAACAGGAGTGCATCATTTTAAAGGTATTCTTTGAAAAATGCCATTGAATATTTGAAGCTGGGTATTTCTTTTTAAAAGGTGACAGACTTTGCACAGATCAATATGCCATAAACTTTTGAGACTTCACTTGGAAGCTTGTGAACTGGTTATATTACTAAAAACTTACCCACCCAGATCAACTTGTTCAAATTTCAGTGTCGCATCTACAAACAGTATTGCTTATAAAGTTCAATAGATTTAAGTACAGGATCCTGTTTAACAGAATGAAGTTTATAGTCTCAAGTTCTTGGCACTTTTTGAGGAACTTATGTTGTTTCCATTATAAATTGAGGTTCCTATTCTATAACGAGCTCTGCCTGTGCAGATACCTATTAGAGTGGTCCAATTACGGGCTTCTGCATGATTTGAAACTAAAAACGGAATACCATTGGTGGTAGCAGTGGTTCTCTCCTTTCTTTCCACTGAGGTAGATCCATAAGTTAATGTTTACTTCAGAAGAAGAGAAGCATTCAGCTCTTGAGTTATAAATGAATTATGTGTAAAACTGTGTGCTATGTAAGTAATAAAAATACCATAATTCTAGAGATACTTACTCCAATGGCATATATGAAAACTTCTTGCAGTACAAACTTTGGGAAAAGTTTAACCCCTTTTTTATTCCCCCCGTATAGGTATAAGTGTATTAGCAGAATGCCTAGACTGTCCAGAACTGAAGGCCACTGCAGATGACTTTATCCATCAGCACTTCACTGAAGTTTACAAGACAGATGAGTTTCTACAGCTTGATGTTAAACGTGTGACACATCTCCTGAACCAGGACACACTGACTGTAAGGGCAGAAGATCAGGTAAGACTCCAGTTTTCTTAGTACAGTGTGCCTTCTACCAGCTAAATACATCAATTAAAAGGTTTAAATGCTGACTTAAAATGTATTACATTGAATATTTCCATAGTGTTAATAATATCATCAAATAATTTATGAGCCTTGGTCCAGAAATCTGTCTAATTCAGAAGACCCAAGGCAGCATTTCAGTTGTTGGAAGCTGCATAGTTGTGAGGATCGCTTTAAGGAAATAAGAGGGGGATTATGGAAAGCGTTCTGTCTGTCTAGCTCCGTATGTGATCTCCATTGCCATAGTTAAAGTTAAGTCCCAGGTATTTTTAATAAAAGTTACAGACAGATCACAGGCAATAACAAAAATTCACAGAAGCCTATAACCTGTCTGTGATTTCTATTAAAAATACCAGGTGGATGGGGAAGATTAACACTGGGAGCTCCACTGGGGTCTGACCACTGGCAGCTACAGTAGGCTGAAGCTGAAAAAATCATGGAGATCCACTGAAATCACGGAATCTGTGACCTCCATTGCAGAATTCTATCCTTAGTCATAGTATGTGAGCTGAATTTGAAGAGGAGTCGGTCTAGCTAAAATGGAAGAAATAGTCAATTTTCAGGAATAGAGACAGGTGACTGGTGGTGTCCCCCAAGGATCCTTACTGGGACTCCCGTTCAACATATTTATAAATGATCTGGAGAATCAATGAGGGTAGAAAAATTTGCAGATAATACTCAACTCAGTATAGTTAAGAACAAAGCAGACTGTGAAGAGCTTCCAAAAGATCTCACAAAACTAAGTGATTGGGCAACAAAATGTCAAATGAATTTTAATGTTGATAAATGCAGACTAATGCATATTGGAAATAATAATCTCAACTATGCATACAATATGATGGGGACTAGTTTAGCTATAACCACTCAAGAGAGAACTATCCACAGTGACTCCAAGATATCTGAAAACATCCACAGAGGCTATGTCTAGACTACACTGATCTATCAGAAAAAGGCAAACTGCATTCCGTCTACACTGGGCCAAATTTCAGAAAAACCTCCTCTTTTGGAAGAGCCCTTCTTCCTCGTGGGAGGAAGAAGACAGGGCTTCCGAAAGAGTGCATCTTTTTTTGGATGCGGCTAAGTTTAGAGGTATCCCGGAAAAACCCTGTAGTGTAGACATAGTCTTAATGTGCAGCAGCAGTCAAAAAAGCAAACAATGCTAAGAATCATTTAAAAAGGGATAGAGAATAAGAAGAATATCTTATTGCTTCTGTATAAATCCCTGGTACACCCACATCTTGAATACTGGGTACAAATGTGGTTGCCTCATCTCAAAAAAGATATATTGGCATTGGAAAAGAATCAGAAAAGGGCCACAAAAATTAGGGGGTTTGGAATGGTTCCCATCTGACAAGAGATTAAAAAGACTGGGACTTCTCAGCTTAGAGAAGAGGAGATTAGAGGGTGATATGATAAAAGTCTATAAAATCATGACTGGTATGGAGAAAGTGAATAAGGAAAAGTTATTTACTTGTTCACATAAGAACTAGGGGTCACCAGATGAATTAATAGGTAGCAGGTTTAAACAATCAAAAGGAAGTTTTTCTTCGTGCAGCACACAGTCCACCTATGGAACGCCTTCCCAGCGGATGTTGTGAAGACCAGGACTTTAACAGAGCTCAAAAAAGAGCTAGATAAATTCATGGAGAATAGGTCCATCAATGGCTATTAGCCAGGATAAGTATGATGTCCCTAGGTTCTGTGTGTCAGAGGCTGGGAATGGTGATAGGAGAGGGATCACTTGACAATTCCCTGTTCTGTTCACTCCTTCTGGAACATCCGGTATTGGCCACTGTTGGAAGACTGGATACTAGGCTAGATGGACCTTTGCTCTGACCCAATATGGCCATTCTTATGTCCTGAGCTGAAGGGTGAGCTACAGTTCAGCTCAGGCTGTAAAAAATGTTGTGTAGGAAGGACAAAAAACCTTTAAGAAAATGGGTATATGAAGATTTAAGTTGCATAAATTGATCTGTGTTATCAAAGGAAACTTACTACCAAACTGTCTAGAGGAGGAGGTGGGGAGGCATTGTCATCATCCATGCCAGCCCCTGCTCAGCCAATGCCCCTTCCTCCCTGCATCAGGCTGCTGCAGCTCCCAACATCAGCTCCGCAGGCTAGTCCCTCCTGACCTGGGAGTGGAAAAGCAGTCAGCAGACAAAGGTGAGGTCTTGGAGGGAGAGGTGGTACAGAGGAAGTTCCAGTACTTCTTCTGGAGTATCTGGTCTTTATATATTACCAAGTGGTCAACTCCTAATTCAGCTACACAAGAAAAACTGGTTTGCAGCTTTAATTACTTGTGTTTGTTCTTTAGGTTTATGATGCAGCAGTCAGGTGGCTGAAGTATGATGAGCCTAACCGCCAGCCGTACATGGTTGATATCCTTGCTAAAGTCAGGTTTCCTCTTATATCGAAGAACTTCTTAAGTAAAACAGTACAAGCTGAGCCACTTATTCAGGATAACCCTGAATGTCTTAAAATGGTGATCAGTAAGTTGCCTCCCAATTGTACATTTTAATATTTTGTATAATAAGTTTAGAGATGTAATTTTTTTGCTTTGACAATTGCTTACTTTAATATGGAATTGTTTTCCACTGTATTTTAGTTTAGTTTAACTATAACAATAACTGTATTCCTTCTAGGCTGTCTCGTTTAGCTGAAGTTGATTAGCTGCTTGTCAAATATCAGTAGCACCAATTAGTGTGCAACAGATATAACGAGAAAAGAAATGAAAGTTGTTGGTAAATGATCTCAATGTAATAAGTAATGAAATGTGGCTTCTTTTCAAGATTATTAAAGATAATTGGGAGGGTTAGTGCACCTTTGAGACTAGCTAATAGCTTTAATATTTCTCAAGCTTACATTGGAATTAATAAGAAATGTTTGTCAAAATAACTGACTCTATGATCCTTCCCTAGGTAACTTAAAAAAATTAGACCTATGCTCCACCATCTCTGGCAGTAATGCAGACTGACAATTGGAACTAAAGATACAGCACTCTAAAGTAGGGGTGTTAAAAAGCAGTTTTATTTGTAAATGTATAACTGCTGAAATTGTCAGTGGTTATGCATGGGGGAGGCAGCTGGGCAGGAGCTAATGGACCCCCTCTCCCTTCCTGTGCTACTGCCTCTGATAGCAGTGGCAGCAGCGTGGGAAGGGTGGGGGTGGGGCATCAAACCAGTTTGATAGCTTTCTTTGATAGGATATCAAACCTTGTGGATAAAAGGGAGAAGCGGTGGACGTAGTATGCCTAGACTATAGTAAGGCATTTGATAGCTTCCTGCAAGCACCGTCTCCTCCAACCTGCCCCCCTCACTCTGCTGCCTCTCATACAGAGGCAGCAGTGGTGGGGTGTGGGGGTTGTGCGTAACCATGAATGTTAACTGAGTATTTAAACCAGGGTTTCCCAATTTTATTTGGCCATGGAACCCCTTAAAAAAAAAAAAATGCCAGGGGAAATTGATTGACAATGGGGAAAAAAAAGTAGAAAAACTGTCAAGCAAAAAAAAAAAAAGCCAGCCCTAAGACTCCTTGAAATGGCAGCTCTAGGCAACCATCCAGCTTGCCTGCCCCTAAGACAGGGGGCTGGGGGAGTGATCGAGTTCTCCCAGAACCCTTACTTCACTTAGGAACCCCAGGGTTCCATGGAGGAAAAACTGATTTAAACTATCACATCCCTATTCTAAAGTGCTAAATGCAATATCTCTGACAATCTCAGAGGGGTAGCCATGTTAGTCTGTAACTTTAAAAGTAACGAGTAGTCCTGTGGCACCTTAGAGACTGTGTATATTTTTGTTGGTATGAGATTTAATGGGAAAAACCCACTACTTCAGATAAGCTTGAGTGGTTTGAGTTTATTTAAATGAATACATTAAAAAGAGAAAATGGGGAGGGGACAAATCCATCTACCCCTCCTTCCTGACCTGGATTTCTAATGCGGTCCCTAAAACTTCATCAAATGCCAGTGATGAATGCAGACATTCATAAACATTCAGGTTTTTGGAAAGAAAATCCAAGTTTAACTATTAGCCTTCAATTACTGCTGGAATAGATTACATGGCATTGCTTTATAACCACATACAGCCATTCTTTTCCTGCTAACAAAACTTTCACAAACTGAATCTTGCAGAGTGCTGAATGACCTTTACTCTCAGTGAAGCCAAATGGAGATTAGAGCTCTTAGTATAAAGCAGGGGTAGAGTTGAGAAGACAGGTTATACCAGAATATTTCCTAAACAGATAGTAAAGTAAGTGGTTGAATTATCTTTGAAAAGGTCTTACAGTGTTGTTACAAGTAAACTGAGGTTTTAGGTTGTTAAAGAGGAGGGGAACACAGACCGCTGCCTCTCCTTAGTGTTATTAGCTGGAAACTAAAAATAAGTCAATGTCCTCCCAGTATATTTGTATCCCCCTACGATGTTGCTTGTTGGGTGTCTCTTTTCTTACATTTCTATTCCCAGTTCTGCCTTTCTGTGCATGTTCCTTTCTGCCAGTTTCCATGAGTCAGATTTTGGTTATGCCTTTAAATGGATAGATTTTTTTTTGACTGGATTGGAGCATGCAGGTACTTTTTTATCTTTGTTCTATTTTGACATTGCAGGACTTGTCTGGCATGGATCCCTAAACAGGGTATTTTTCCTATCCCTGTGTTCTATATATTCTCTCCTAAATTGAAAAAATTATAAATCTACTTTTGACTCAGAAAAATATTCAAGAAAAAAGCTGGATATTTGGAAAACATAGCTTGAAATTTGTTGCTCTGTAACTACCATATGCATACCTATCTGTCGCTATACAAATTGCATGGATTTCCTTGTAGGTGGAATGCGGTATCATTTGCTGTCTCCAGAGGACAGAGAAGAGCTAGTAGAGGGCACGCGGCCGAGAAGGAAAAAACATGATTACCGCATTGCCTTGTTTGGGGGATCACAGCCACAGTCTTGCAGATACTTTAATCCAAAGGTAAATCATTATGTCAGAAAACATTCAACATCTTTGTTGTAATTTGCATTTGTTGTAGTGGTGGTAGAGTCATTAACTGAGCACTGATGATGTACTTGGTGCCAGGATTCATCACCCTCACTGTTAAAATGTGTGTCTTATTTCGGACCTGAACTCGCCTAGGTTCTGGTTCTTGTTATGCCTTTCTTCCTAATTAAAGAACCTTTTAATACCCAGTATTTTCTCCCTGTCAAGGATAAATACACTTTAATCAAGATGCCTCTGTCTTTGTGATAAGCTAGATAGATTGAGCTCTTCAGGTCTGTCACTGTAATACATTTTCTCCTTAAATAATTATTGTGGCCCTCTTCTGCGCCTTCTCCAGTCTTTCAGCGTCCTTTTTAAAATGTGGACATCAGACCAGTACAAAGTATTGGTCTCATCGATGCGGTGTACAAAATCAAAATTGCCTTTCTACTCCCTAGCATGCATCTCCGAGGATGACATTAGCCATGTTTGCAACAGCAGCACTCTGGCAGCTCCTTTTAAGTTGTCCACTTAAGAGTTTCTGACTTTCAGGATGTAGTCCCCAATTCTCTAAATATGGCCTGCTTTCTTTGTTTCTGCATTGATCACTTTGCATTTGGCTGCATTAAAATGTATTTTGTTTGACTGGGCCCAGCCACCCAAGTAATCCAGGTTGCTCTGTATGACTGCCTGGTGCTCGTAATTTACCATTCCACCAATCTGAGAATCATTAGAAAATGTTATCAGCGGTGATTTAATATTTGCCTAATACCCAATTCCTTTATGGAATCCCATAGAAACATCCCTATTCAGGGATGATTCTCCCTTGATTGCTTTTTTAGAACAACCAGTTAGCCAGTTCTTAATCTGTTTAATATGTGCTTTTTATTTTTATTTATATATATATATATATAT